GGGGGGCGATCAGCCTTCCGCCTGCCTGCCGACACCTGACAAGGGGACCCATCATGCCGAACACCCCTACTCTCGGGCCAGATGAATCTGCCAGCTCAATGGCCCCCCCTCCGCGCCCTTTTGCCCCTCTACCCACCCTCTCCATCTCCTCCATTCTCCACCTGTTTCTCCTCTCGCCAGACCGGGATCAAAAGAGAGAGAGAGAGAGAGAGAGGCACAATCCCTCTCCGATCCTCTCCCCGACCTTGCCATGGTGCCCTCTCCCCGGCGAGGCGGGCGCCTTTGCCTGGTGCTCATGCTGCTGCTTGGCCTGATGGGGTTGGCTGTGGCCTCCAGCGGGGACATCGACCCGCGCTTCCGGAACTGTGTGCGTGAGTGCAACAAGTCCAACATATATGACCAAATTAGCCTGTGCGTGTGATTGTCCCCTCATGCCGTCGCCCTCCTTTGCTTCGAGCCACCACCTCCCCCTGGTGGATGCTTGCCGGTGCTGCCCCTCTCACTCACTCGCCCTCGCGGCGTCTGCCCACCGGACCGCCAGGCCCTACCGCCTCCTCCTGTGGGATCGGGACGCCCTGTGCCGGTATGACTGCATGAGTGCCATCGTCGAGCGTGATCAGCTTGACTACCAGGCGGCCATGGCCCTCTGGAAAAGGGGCGACCCGTCGAATCCGAGCGGCCGGCCGCCCCACCCGCCGCGCGTGCACCAGTACCATGGGAAGTGGCCATTGCGGCGTCTGCTTCTGATGCAGGAGCCAGCCTCTGTGCTGTTTTCGGTGGCCAACTTCCTGACCATCCTCCTCGGCGCGCCAGTTCCACTGCTGGGCTGGTGCCGGCGGTGGTGGGCCTGGGGGTGGGCACGACGCCGGCGGCATCGCCAGCGCTCCTCGGCCGGTGGGGGAATCCCTGCCAAGCGCCTGGGCGAGCTTCGCCCTGCGGAAGAGCCGCTCTGGCCGCCGGGGGTGGCCTGCCAACGCCCAGGGGTCGACCGGGTCTGCCTGGCCGGCGGTAAGGCCGGTGCGCCTCCTCCGCTCGGTGTCCTCCAGCGCCCGGCGCCCTACACCACCTACCTGCCCCCTGTGAGCCCGGGAGATGGGCCGATGGCCGGCGGGGGGGACGCGCCTGCCTGTGGGCTTGGCCACCTGCGCCTCTCCACAAGCAACCCCCTCTGGCGAGCCCAGGCTCTCTACACGCTGGTCGGGCTGAATACCTGGCTCTGGAGCGCGGTCTTCCACACTCGCGATCTCTGGTGGACCGAGTATTTGGATTACTTCAGGTGTGTTTCCTTTTGAGCCGTCTCCTCCCGCAGGGGGGGGGGAGCGCACCCCCTTGTGTCTGACACGGTGTCGACCCGGGTGTCTCCCACCACCTTCCCCCCTGTCTTGGTTCCTCTCGTGCGCAGCGCCACCGCCTGGTCCCTGTGCTCGGTGTACCATGCCAGTATGCGAGCTCTGCCGGTGGTTCGAACTGGCCGGCCCCACCTGCTTTTCTCGGCCTTCTTGCTTTGCCTCTTCCTCGGGCACATCGGTTACCTGGGCCTGGTGAGCTTCGACTACGGGTACAACATGCTGGCCAATGTTGTTGTCGTGTCGGTCAGCGGGGTCCTTTGGATTTCTTGGGGCGCGAGCCAGCTGCTTCGGCACCGCCGTGCGGCGCGCCACGTCTGGCTCGTACGTGACCACCGCATGCGCACGCACAGGGCCGCCCTTTTGGTGCCGCCATTTCCTCACCTAACACGCCCCGTCTGTTACGATGTCCCCCCCCCCCGTTCCCCTCTGATTTGCTCCTTTCCTTTTCCATATATGCACGCACGCACGCACGCACGCACGCACGCACGCGCGCACACGCACACGCACACGAACACAAAAACACACAATTCCACTCCCTGCCTCCCAGTGCATTGGTTGCCTGGTCCTTTTGAGCGTCGGCATGACGCTGGAGCTGTTGGACTTCCCGCCCATCTTCTTCCGGACGCTGGATGCACATTCGCTGTGGCATGCCTGGACGGCCCCCATTTCGCTGCTATTCTATGAGTTCATTCGCCGTGATGTGCTCTTCATCCGGCAGTTCGACCGGGACCTCTATAACCTGGGCCGGGTCAGCAAGCGTGACTGAGGGTCGGATTCGGGCCCTCTCCCCCTCCCCTGCCGCCCCCGAGAGAGGGGAATCGCCGGCTTAGCCACATTCCGCGGTCTCGTCGGGCGTGCCCCGGCCACTTCGGCATGCATCCCCCCCCCCCCCTCACCCCCCCCGCTCGACCGCGCCTCTGGCTCGGGGAAAGTGCACATGCTACAAATACATCGAAATCTTATATTGGCATATGTGTGTTGGTATGTCCCCCGGGTGCGTGAGCGCGCGTGCGTACGTGCATTTGGTCCAACTAAAGGGCGCCGGCACCAGACCCCCAGG